CCCACATAAGCAGTCTCTGAAGCCAAGAGGTACACAGGCCCCCTGAAATTCCTGGGGTGATGATGGTGCTTCTTGCTATGCAGATATCCATGGCAGAAAGCTGACAGTCATCCTTGACTTCTGACCTCTCTACCCCACATCCAAACAGGTACCACATTCTGCCTATTTCACTTTATTAGCATCTGTATATATGCTCCCTCCTCTCTTTCTGCTTTAGTCTCTTCATCTCTTGCCTGGCTTATGATTGCACCCACCTCCACATTAGTTTTCCGATCCTCCAATCTCACCTTCTCCAATCTCGCAACCACTACTGAAGTGGTACTCCTAAACTCATAGTTCATGTTATTTCTTTCATTACAACCCTTCATTTATTCATTTGTACCCTTTTGCTTCTTTCTCCTTGCCCTTTGCTAGAAACTCTTATCCTCACCTTTTTCTATTAGACTGCCAAGCTTCTAGTCCTCTTCTAAGAGCCAGGTCAGGAATGTCTCCTCTGTGAGGAGCCCCCCCCGCCACCCAACTTAATGAAGGCCCTTCCTGTTTTTCTTTGGCCCTGCTGGGCCTGGTTCTTACTTCTTGCAGAGTTCATTACCTATAATACGTCAATCAGTCTTGATTGTGTATATCCCTGGGGCAAGATTCTTGTTATTGAGCCCTGTACAACATCTAGCAAAAAGTAAGCTCTTTGTGTTTATAGATTGAGGAGATGTGTGGTAAGAGAGGAGCTGGAGGCCTGAGCAAACCTGATCCTCACTTTGCAATATAGAGAAAGAGAGAAGAGTATGCTCATCCCAGAACCTGAGGAATACTACTGGGTCATGGGCCACATAGACCCACTAGGAGGATCCATCCATAAATTGAAAAGTCATCTGACTATGAGGAGGCAACTTAAGACTCCCAGACAGTAGGATACCTTCCAGACAGGTAGGCAATTTTCCATAGTGGCTTCTTGCTATCTTTATAATGTTCTCTCTGCCACTTTTAGGAGCTGTTGTGTCCTACTCACTGAATTAATGTCCTGATGATCCCGATCCCTGAGTGTCAGGAGGCAGGAGGAGTCTTAAACTCCTTTTCAAGACACATAGTCAGAAGGTCAGAACCTCAGCATTCTTCATCTTCGCCCAAGGAAGGTGTTACTCTCTCTCAGGAGCACCTTCCGTTGATCTCCACTTTTTCCTGATGTGTACCTAAAGCCTTCCTGTAGTTGTTGAGCCCATCCTTCTCCTGGCCACCCACTGGAGAGATCTTGCTTGTCTCTATCCTTAAAGTATCTGTAACTGAGCATGTGTTCATGAACTAAAAAATGAGTTAATGGATAACCTAGGTTTCAGGGAGGCCAGACTAGCATTTCTCTCAAGCATGCAGAGACTCCATCTGGTGCCATTTGCCTTTTTTTTTTTTTTTTGTCTCTTAGGTCTCTGAGAGCACAGGAGGCAAGGTTTTGCTTGACACAATTAAGTGCTTAAAAGCTCTGTTGTTTTGTAATCAATTTCTTCCTCTCTAATAGCAGCTAGAGAGAAGACAGACTGTGAGACTGCCCAGCCCAGCTGACAGACAACAGGGCCAGAAAGCCTATCCCTTCTGCCTACATGAACAATAGCCCAAATTCAACCTAACTGTTCAGAGAGCCTTGGATAGCTGGGAGCTTCCCTAGATCAGTGAGTTACGTGGCTTAGACACAGAACTGACTTAGAAGGTGTGCCTATCCCTGGCAGTTTCTTTTGGAAAATCTGTGCTCAGAAACATTCAGGATTGTCTAGGAGACAGGCACAGCAGGAGTGGAGTCCGGGGCCTACGTCTCCAAGAGGAGCTCTCATTCCCTTCCTAAGCAGCCAGGAAGAGACTCTAGGGAGCTCTCAGGGATAGGCCCCCAGCCTGGTTTAGCTCCTGAGACGCAGCCAGGCCAATTAATTGGCTGAGGGAGAAAAGAGGGAAGCCACTCCCTTCAGTCAAACTCCCATCCAGGACAGGAGGCTCTGTGCAGCTGTGGCAACAGCAGCGACGATGACAATGGGGCAGGAGCTCTTCCTTTTCCTCCCACTAGCCGGGAACTGAGGCTTAAATAAGCGCCTTGGGAACACCCAGTTCTGCTGGCTGTGGTTTCTCTCCCAGCCCCTGCCACTCCCCTAGGCCTCATTTTCAAGCCTTAATTTCTCTTTCAAGTAAATAACAACAATAAATTCTTAAAAAGATGCTCTCCCCCTAGAGCTCATCTTTCCGAGCAAGGAATGGCCTCTGGATTCTTCCCACCACTATGGATGGGGGATGGCTATTTGATGATGGAGCTCACATGACAGGCCTCTAACAGTACAGCCTGATCCACAAAGAGACAATGATGCTAACATCAGCACTGCCTTGACTCCCTTAGGGCTTAAGGAGACAGCCCCTCAGAGGGGCTCGCACTGGGAGTGAGCAAGAACAATAAACTTCTGCTGAACTGTGAGTTCCAGGAGGGCAGAGCCATACCTGTGTCTAACCACTGTGTTCCCAACACCTAGTGTAGTATCTGGAACAAAGCAGATGCTCAATAAACATTTGGTGAATTAATTTGCTGAATTAATGATATCAGGTCCCTACTATATTCTTTGGAAGAGAGAGGGAGGACCTACTGTTTAAACTTTAAAGAGATAGTTACAACTGTCTTCATTTAATAAATGGGAAAATTGCATCCAGAGAAGAGGAGAGACTTCCTAGAGGTTGCAAAAAATGAATAGGTCACAGCTGAGTCTGAGTCTGGAACCCTTGATTTTACTGGTCTACCCAAACACCCCTAAAGAGCCACTTTGCCCTTTCTTTTGCCGTCTTGATTCCTTATGTTCCGAAATGAAGGCCCTTGAGGAACTCCATACAAGATTCTGCTGGTCTCAATAATATACAGAGCATTTAAGGAGTTATGGGGATCCTCCAGGCTTCAATATGGGAGCAGCAGTCAAGAGTCTGAGATCTGCAGGGCATGGTCTATGACTCCCAAATGGGGGATGACTATATTGCTACTTCCATAAGGCTCTCATTCAACCTTAACAAAGTATCCTCTTGCAGAGAAGGGCTGCTTTAGTCTTTAAGAAAAGGGTCTGTAGGCAGCCAGAGCCTTTCTGGTGAGTGCCTCTTTGCCATAAGCACTTCTACTCCAGAGCCACACAGACCAGGAGAACTTCAGGCAATAACAGAGGTACCAAGGACAACTAACAGAGTCTGGGACTAACATCTCTTTCCTCCTCTCCCTGGACAGCTATTGCTTCCCTTCTTAAGAACCCTAAATGAAAGGCAAGAACCAATTCATTGCTTTCTCTCTCCTGACTCACTTGGACCTCATCGTCTTCCTTCATCCACCATCTATTTTTCCTCTTAATTAGATACTTAGAACTGGAAGGGCAATCTAGTTTGACAAGCCAGGTTGGCTGGAAAGATAATCCAGAGTGGAAAGTTCTCTTAAATCAGCCCAAAGTTCTTCTTCAAGTTCTTGGGACAGATTTCTCACCAGGATTTTCTGGCCCCCAAATAATGGAATAATGGCATAAGGCTAGGAAAAAAGTACATCAGCATCTCTCTCCCCAGTTTAACGTTGTACACTTCTGTAAAGCTTTCTGTTTGAGTTTCTAGACCTAAGTAGACACAAGAGAGGAAAAGCCACTTATCTTCTGCCAGGTAGACTCTAATGGTTCTCTCTACCATCCCCCAAAAGGTATGGCTTAGAGTTGGTCATGGCTCCCTGCCAAGGTCTGTGTTGGCTGCTGTAATGGGCAGATTACTTGCTCGGGAAGCCACAAAGCACATCTGTCAGCAGGGGTAGAATCAGTTCCTCACCTCCCCACCTAACACAGAGGGTGGAGGCTTAGAGAGTCCCAGATCTTCAGGACTGAAGAGTTTTGCCCTGCTCCACCAATGCTCAGAGAATAGGACATCCAAACCTTCAGGTTCCTGACCAGCACCCCTTGGGCCCCAAGGGAAAAAGGAGAAGGTACAGCGAACAGGGCCTGGGCCTCCCTCCCTTCCCTGTCTCCCTGTACCAGCTGGCTAGGCCTCAACGTCTCTCACCCAGCCACCGGGCCATCAAGCTAATCAGGTAGCCCCAAGAAGCTGTGCTCAGCGGGACAAGGTCTCCCCTAAGTCTGGCCTCCCTGAGCCCGCGTCGCCCTCCCCTTGCATTCCCTCAGCGTCGGCAGCGATGACATCATTCCTCCCTGACTCTGGAACCGCGGACAGGCTGCAGGATCGGCGCCCAGCAAGGACTCCAAGCACGTAGGCCTAGTATGCTGGGGGCTATTCCGAGCCCGTGGGCACAGGCGGTTCCAGCGCGACCCCGCCCCTTCTACTGTCGGTTCCCGAGCTCCCTCATCCGCGCCCCTGATTCTCCATTTCGCCGCCGCATTCTTTCTTCCTGGGCTCCGGCATCCGTAGCTTCGACTGCCTGTGCTCTCCTCCAGAGAAGAAAGGAATTCCAGGGTCCTGTACCGACCCCTTTCCCCCACCGGTCAGTGGTTCTGGCCCAGCGTTCCCATCCAAATCCAGCAACTGGCGGACAGGCCCCTCCTCCTCTACAAGTCTATTCCCAGTCCTCTTTGACTGACTACTCCCTGGTCCCCTCCCAGCCCTGAGCATCACAGGCCTCTAGGGCTAAACGCCTCCCCACCTCACCCCAGCCCCCCTGGGCCTGCCGCCTGCTGTGCCCCTTGACAGGTCCTTCCTTGCCCAGCTATGGGCCTTCACTAGCGGTGTGCACCATTGTGCTCTCTCCGTTCCCTCCAACGGCCGCGGTAGCTCCCTTGGCCTGCCTCCATTGACTGTGCCCTCCGCCTTTACAGACCTCTTTGATGTCACCCCGCGTATTCTCTTACGGTTTTCTTGTCCTGAAAATCCCTCTTCCTCAGCGATGCGTTTTCACAGGTCTTTGCCCCATTGGAATGCACCCCCTCCGCACAGTCCCCAAGGCCTGATTCTCTCCCTCGCCCTCAGGCAGCGCCCCCTCCCGGCCCTTGCCTGCCCACCGCCCGCCCCCTCACCAGCGGCTGCATCTCCGAGTGCGCGGTGGGCACCTGGAACCGGTCGATCTCTTCCATCATGGTGCCGGCGGGCGAGCGGCTGGGGGCCGGGCGCGGCCAGGGACGCCGGCTGGACGGAGCGGGGCGAAGGCCCCAGGAGCCGGGTGGGTGGTGCAGACCAGGCCGCCCTGGACAAGTCAGGTGTTGAAGCAGCAGGACAGATGGAGGGATGCGAGCAGGGCAGGAGGTTCGCTGGCGGGTGGAGGCCGGCGTGGCTCCGTCGGCTTGCCTAGCTCTACAGCGGCTGTGGAGGCAGAGCCGCAGGTCTTGCCTCGCCTCCTCCGCCGCCGCCGCCGCCTCCTGTCAGCAGCTCAGCCACTGCGGTGACTCGGCAACTCCACTTCCGGGTCCGGGACACCGCCTGGGTTTTGAATTATTTATGAGGAGGCGGTGTCTAGGCGTCCCAGCCCCTCCCACATTCTGGAGTTCTTAATACTCCAGGCCGCGAATCGTAGCCTTCCTGAGGGGGCGGGGCTTAGTGAAGTCGGAGGTTCCCTGTTCGCCCCGCCCCTCTTCCCTGGCAAGCTGACGGGGGTTGTTAGAAGCGCCTGCGCCTGGCTATCGGTTGGTTGCTTGGTAACCGCGTCAGGGAGGAGCGCATTCCCTACTGCAAAGGCGCAGGGATACACAACGACGGCTGTCCCAAAAGAACCCTTGAGACTGGGGATTGAAGTGAAAGAGATCCTGTGCGTGATCGAGTGCACGGATAAACTTCTTGTCTGCAGGCGAGGGAGCATTTTTGTAGGTGCTCCAAGTGTTGATTTGAAGTGCTTCCAGCTTCTTCGAAGATGCCCCAGAAACCGCCACCTCGTAGGCAGGTAACACACCCGGACCTGCCCTCTCCGGATGACCTCTGACCTTCACCAATGACCACTGATCACACTTCTACTGATCCTTCATCGTCCTTTCCTCTAGACCCTTAACTTTCTTTCTCCCTGTGACTTCTGACCTTTGTTCCCACTGACCTCTGACCCTGTCCTGCCGCTCTCTCTCTGGGAACTCAGTCCAATGAGAAAGACAGAACATACAAGCATACAAAGATAAGGGAGTATGGGATCCCTGGGGCTAAGAAGGAGAGAGACATGCAGGTTGAAGCAGCAGAAAAGCTTCAGGAAGAAGGCAGCTATGACTTGCATGCCTAAAGTGGAGAGGGAAGGTCAGGGTTGGGTGTGTTAGGGAACAAAAAGGAGTTTAAACTCCATTGTTCAAAGCTCCCTCTGGCTTTCAGGACAGTCCCAAACGTCCAACTTTCATTGTATAGCCTGCAAGGCCTTGCAAGATCTAGTCTTTGCTACCCACCCTACTTCAGATTTCATCATTGCTTTGTGAAAATTCCACAGTCCCACTACACTGAATTGCCCTCACTTCCTGGAAAGTGATATCCACACTACCTTTCTCCTCTAGGCCTTTGAAACTGCTGTTTCCTCTTCCATCCTGGTACAGTCTTTTCTGTCTTCTGCAACCTGCTCCATGCCACCCGCTCCATGCCACCCTACTTCAAATCTCTTTATTTCCTGATCATACATCAGGTCTTAGTTTGGTTATCATATTCTCCTATAAGGGATTAATTCCCCTTTTGGCAAGCAAGAGAGTGACATCCTCACTAGACTATAAATCCTGTGATGGCAAGGATCATGGCTGTCTCATTCATTGTTGATTCCTCTGAACCTAGCATAACACCTGGGATATGCTAAATTCTGAAAAAGGGTTGAATATAAATTCTGAATGCCTTGAGCTGTTCTTTGGAAATTTTTATCTGAGTGTGTCTGAAGGATAGGCAGGGGTGTGCCTGGGATGGAGAGACTAGTGAGGAGTGAAAACAAGGAAATATCATTGTAGAAGCATGTTTTCCAGGTTCATGTTTTTATCTGCTTTGGCAGTAGGGCTATTAACGATTCAAATTTGAACCACATGTACCCATGCCTTGGGTGTTCAAGATTAAGAGGTCAAAAATTCTGATGATGTAAACAGCCATTCTCATTTAACAATTATTTTATTGAGCACCTACTATATGCCAGGTATTGGTGATATGTGAACAAACAAAAATCCCTGCTGTCATGGAGCTTATCTTATCTTTTAGTTGGAGGTAAATTGTCAATAAACAAATAAGTAAAATATATAGTTTATCATATGGTAAAAATTTTCAAGGAGAAAAATAAAGTAGGGAAAGGGACTAGGACATTAAGAGAACCAGAAGGTTATGACTTAAATACAGTAATCAACAAAGGCCTCATAAAGGTGACAGTTGAGAAAGACCTGAAGGAAATGAAAGAATTAGCTATGTGATATCTGGGGAAAAAGCATTTCAGACAAAGGGCACAGCAAGTATAAAGTCTCTAAGATGGGAGCTTGCTACACATATTCTGGATCAGCAAGGAAGGGAGGAAGAAAGTGGCAGGAAATAAGGTCAGAGACGTGTATCCTCCTACCCTGCAGGGTTAATCAAATAACCTATGGCATATTAAATTGATCATGATGGAGCTCAATGAATCATAATTTGTAATTAAAATGCATGAATATCAGGTACCATAAACCATGACCAGCTCAAAACATCACTGGTAATGCCCCAATAACAAAATGTCCTTCCTGAAAATTTCAAGAATTCCAACTGGCTGCATGTGTGTATGTGCAGAAGGAGCCTTGCAACATTGCCAAACATTGCCTCTCAGCTAGACTTCTTAGTAGGAAACTGAATTAGAGTCTTCTGTGAACTCCAGTTAAAAGCTAATTTTAGTTTATGACTAACAAATTTTAGTACTCCTTTGTAACTCAGTTACCATAAAAAAAGTCCAAGTCTGGGATTTTGCATCATTTGCCTGTAAGAGCCAAATAAAAGTCTTGCATTTGTGGATCATTCTGTGGTCTCTCCAGAGGCCCTTCTGGGACAATATTTTTGATCTTGATGAGGAGTGACTAGGGTAGGGGTGAGAAGGCAAAAATGGGTGCAGGGCCAAAAGAGAGTCTTAGATGATTCAGAGATTTTGAGTCTGGTGACTGGGCTTGTGATCCATAGAAGAAAAGACAGGAGGAGGTGAGCAGAATCTAAGAGAAGTTGATGTGTTTCTACATGCCCAAGTAAGATACCCTCAGTCTTATGACCCATATTCTCATGTCATTCTTACACCTCTGATCTTCCTCAAGCCCTAGATCTGATCCTTTGTGCCTTTACCTCCTATATATTTCTCGAATCAAGCCACTTTTTTCATATTCACTGCCACCTCCCTATTCCAATGTACAATCATCTCTCACTCAGTGCTGTAAAAGCCTTGTAACTGGTATCCCTCTCGTCTACTCATGCCCCTTCCAATCCATTCTCTACATTGCATCAAGTGATTTTTTTCCAAACTGTCAATCAGATCATTTAAACTCCCACTCAGAACCCTTCAGTAACTCCCCATTGCTCTTAGGACAGGGACCAAATTTTTAGATAATCCTTCAGGGTATGGGCTGAGGCCTGCTTGGTCTCTAACACTTAGTTTATATTACTGCTCCCCTATTATTGTTGTACTTCAGTTCTATGGGTTGTGCTTTCTTTCTGGAACACTCTTCACACCCTCCCTTACACATATACTCACTCCAAAAATTTTAGCCCAAACATCAATTCCCCAATGCCCCCTGCCCTGTTAATGAAGATAGGATTAAGTTTCCTCTTATTATATAGTCTTATGGCTCTTGATCCTTTCTTCCATAGCATGTGTCCCAGTGTGTAATTATTCACTTTTTTGTATAATTATTTGCTTATTGTCTCTCTCATTAGACTGTGAGCTCCTTGAGAGCAGCACCTGTGGATGTGTTTGCTCGTATCTGTATTCTCAGCTCCTAACACACTGACCATCACGTCAGAAGCTTTCAATGATTGAAGTGAATGATGGACTATGGTTGGGGAACTAGTATAAGGGGCTGTGGAAACATGTGATAGGAGATCCTAACACTGATTCTGGGGGAATCAGGGAAGACTTCTAGGAGCAACATGATGATTCAAGGTTTTGGAAAGAGGAAGAAGAGTCCAAAATGTAGGATGAGAAGGAGTGACTGTAGAAGTTAGAAGACAACAGGGAAGAGTAATGTCCCAGAAGCCTAAGGAAAAATGTGTTCATAGTGAGTTTACAGTGTTTTTAAAGTATGTGGTCAGCCATGTTGCATGCTGCAAGGGGTCAATGAAGACTAAGAACTTGATATAGCCATTAGGTTTAATAATTAGGAAGTCACTGGGGATCTTGGAAAGAACACTTTCAGGGTAAAAGCCAGACTGAATTGAGCTAAGAAAGCAGTAAACAACAAGTAGACAAGGATTTTTTTTAAGAGGTGAAAGTAAGACTTGAATATGTTAAATGCTGAGGGGAGGGACCTGGCATAGATAAAGAGAAGTTGAAGAGGAAGGTGACAGATAAAAGAATGACTAGAACCAAGTCTCTGCTCTGAGGAGGTAGGTGTGGATCAGTTGTGGACAGGAGGTGGAACACTTTGTGATAGGAGAGAAGAAAGGAGGAAGGGAGGGCTGCAGATGATGATAATTTAGAGGTTTGGTGGCATGAAGTTGAGAGAGTTTTCTCTTCTCATCCCCCAGTAGTGGTATGGAATTCCTTCTGGAAGTGATAACTAGAAAATAAATTTTGCCAATGGCTGTTCCATTTTGTTATGATTACAGTCATGCTGTTTTCAGAGTTATGGTCTGAGGTTTTCATGCACAATTACCAGATTACAAAACAGCTGTGAGCATTTGAGGCCAGAATTTGGTCTCCTCCCCTCTTTACTGTGCAGCTTAGAACATCGTTAGTACTCAGTACATGCCAGGTACTCAAATAATAATGACAGAGGGCTCTGTGCTTATCCCTGTGCTTTGCAGCCTGCAAGCTGATGCTGAAGAGTAATTTTAATTCTTGGGCTCCAGCTGTGAGCAAGCCACATGGAACTGTTTTCTGGTAGTTAGGAATTTGTTGAGTGTTCAGTCTTCCCAATAGCTGAGACAGAGTTGTATGGAGGAAGCAAGCAAAGGACACAGATATTGATCAAACTTTGATTTCACTGCTTTGTGTCTCATAACACTTTATCCTACTCATGGAATCACTGGGTTCTGGTTTGTATGATGGGTTTATGTCCTCAGTTTATCTCACCTCCTAGATTTGAGGGCCCTTGAAGCAGGGCCAACTCAACTTTGGTTCTTCTTTAGTTGTCATTTGAGGATCTGTTATACTGTAGATGTTTAATAAATACTGGATGAGTGAATAATGACTAAATGAAGTAATTGATGAGAAAATACATGAATGACATGAAGATACATACTACAGTACTCTGAACACTTAACTTTTCTTTCTGGGCCGGCTGAAGCAGCTCATGCCTCCTTGGTCCTAGCCAAAGCAGGCATGTTACTAATTCTGTTACTTATGTAGGGACCCTGCCCCTGACTTTAAGCTTATTTTCCTACTTTCATTTTTACCTCACATCAATTTTCTCATTTACTCACTTTTTCCATGTCATATATTCAGCCTCAAATCTTGCTCTGGGACAAATTGGAATATAAATGTTCACAAAAATCTGCTGCTCTCTGGACGGACATGTGATTCTAAGCCTCTGTATCTTTGTTAATGATTTTGTTTCCTCTGCCTGTAATGCCCAAGTCTTTCCTACTTCTCCTGCCTTTTATGGGCTTAACAAGCTTGAAGGCACATGTATTTTAGGCTCTGTTGCAAAGAACAGAGGCTCACTCAAGTTACCTGAAATAAAGGGGGAGGTGAGTGAAGGGGAAAGGTATACATGTGGGGGTTTGGGGTAGGTATTATACCAGTGAGATAACCCAGAAGTTGGAATTAGCAGACAA